AATATAATTAACCGTATAATTATAATGTATAACATAAATAACTGGAATATAGTTGTACATAATATAGTAACGCTTTAACAATATAATTAACCGTATAATTATAATGTATAACATAAATAACTGCAATATAGTTGTACATAATATAGTAACGCTTTAACAATATAATTAACCGTATAATTATAATGTATAACATAAATAACTGCAATATAGTTGTACATAATATAGTAACGCTTTAACAATATAATTAACCGTATAATTATAATGTATAACATAAATAACTGCAATATAGTTGTACATAATATAGTAACGCTTTAACAATATAATTAACCGTATAATTATATAGTGTAACATTAAATAAACATTTAATGTAAAAGTAATGCACAGTTTTCTTATTATATTTTATTTCACCTGATAATCTTATTAGAGGATTTTATCAAAATTACCATTTTAAAAATTTCATTTAAAATAGGATTAAATATATTATTCTTAACTTTGTATTACGTTCCACAATTTATTTTCGTACTTGCTTCATGCATGTTTAAAGTTTTGGGATCGTGTAAGAGAATAATTTGACGTATAGTAAGTATGAGTCGATTTTTTTTTTTTTTTTGCGACGTAAAGATTAAAGGCAAGATAAGTATATACCAAGAAGTAAATATTGATAGGTTACTAACCCACAATTATTAACAGCGCTAACTTTCTTCCATATTATTATTTTTCATTACAGAAGAGCTCAGGAAATGATTGATTGTTACTGGCCAATCCTTAATGAATGTATACTCTTTAATGATTTCGACTATTTCCTGCGAGTAATACTGAGTATTGCCAAAACCAAGACGTTTTTGTGTGAGAATAATAAAGCAAGTCTGAAAGGTAAGTTTCTATATTAAAATTTTAGCGTAAGAATCGATTATTTTCATGGTTCTTTATACTGAAAAGCAGAGTTTCTATCTATAAGTTTAACTTAGCATATGTTAAACTAGTGTTCATGGATTCTTCTGTCAGTGATAAAACGAACCTGAAAAATAGTTTTAATATTAATATCTTTTTTTTTATTTAATTTCGCGCAAAGCTACACGAGGGCTATCTGCGCTAGCCGTCTCTAATTTAGCAGTGTAAGACTAGAGCTAGTCATCACCACCCACCGCCAACTCTTGGGCTACTCTTTTACCAACGAATAGTGGGATTGACCGTCACTTTATAAATACCCAACGTCTGAAAGGGTTTTGGTGGGACGGGGATTCGATTGCGAGTCGAGCGTCCTAACCACCTGGCCATGCTGGGCAACTGTTATGGTGTGACCTAGATTAAGAGTTGCATGAACAACAACTGTTATGGTGTGACCTAGATTAAGAGTTACATGAACAACAACTGTTATGGTGTGACCAAGATTAAGAGTTACATGAACAACAACTGTTATGGTGTGACCTAGATTAATAGTTGCATCAACAACTCAGTTGTTCACGTTGTCTCAAAATCTCATTTTTGTTTTCTAAAATAAAAATGTCGTGGGGTCTTTTGATGTACACTCTACGTGCTTTATTTATTGGTGTTTTTTTTTTTTTTTACTTGCTACATTTTAAGCATATGATATGACCATACAAGCTATTGTAAGAAATAACACAGATTTAACAGTTGTTTACGTCTTAAGTTTGTGGTAATTTCACAGAATTAATCCCTAATTTCTTCGATAGTTTTCCAGCCACTAGTCAGTATTATTACCTCCTACTTTTAAAGGAAGCACCCACGTACTTGATATCTTCCAATAATTTAACTCTGCTTTACAGTTTTTACTTCGTACAACCAGTCTTGACACACCTTTATAACCCCAAATAACGAAATAACTACACTCAAACGCTTCCTCGACAAAAGAAGCCTCTGATATCCCCACACTGATATGTTACTGTGACTGGCTGAATAAGTATTGACGTTAAACGCTTTTCAATTCAACGGATAAACATATCAACGGTTACGAGGAGTTACCATGGGAACCAGAATGGGTTCATGTTACGCAAACCTATTCGTTTTAGAAGAACAAATGTACACTAGTTCTAGCCATAAATCCCCTATTTTCTATATCGATACATCGATAATATTCTAGGTTCTTTCCACTGAGGAAATCGATACACTTTATCCACAAAATGGAAACTTATCATCCATCACCCTAATCTTAACTCGGAATACAAACTTTTTAGAGAGCAATGTTAAACTTTCAGAACATACAATCACAACCAGTATACATTATAAGCCTACTGACAGTCATTCCTGTTTAAACTACAAATCTTTCCATCACTCTGTAACTAAAAACTCCATTCCAAAAGGTCAGTTCTTAAACCTAAAATGTCTATATTGTAACAACGATCTTGTCCACCTCGATCATTGTTTTATTTAGCGGTTTAAATTAATTATACAGTTTATCATTTAATTAGTTCTCATTACAAGTTCATTTTTATATATACACTCTCTTCATAGTATTTTTCATTTTTTAATAGAATATTTTCCTATATATTATTGTTTCTTTTTTACACTTAATTTGAGTTTCACGCCACATTAACAGCGGCGATGTTTCGTTTCAAATGACTAGTTTTTGTATACACACTTTGCATTCTTTTCATCTCGTATGTTTTTTAATGTCTTTTTACCGTTCTTAAGTCTGAAGAAGTGCGTAATGCCCGAAAAGTAGCAAATAAATGAATGTTTACTCAGAAGTGCATCGTTAACCGTCTTCAATAACTGTTTACTTGCAATAGTCGACTCATGTGAAAAGCAGTAAAAATTACTCCCTCTTCTGTAAGTCATGACAACAAATCAGTTCAGACTGCTGTCTAGAATATAATATTACATTCAAACTGACTTTTTTCTTTAAGGATTATGGGCCGTAGTGGCACAGTGGTAAGTCTGAAGGCATTTCAGGCTAAAACCGGGTTTCGATATTCGTGGTAGGCACAACACAGATACCCGATTGTGTAACCTTGTGCTTATCAACAAACAATACAAACAAAACAACTTACTGTTGAGCCATGAGGGGCAGAGTTCTGATACTGTCGACTACAGAGAAATGTAGATAATTCCTAGACAATCCTAGACATTCTTTAACTCTGTTACACCAATCCTAGACATTCTTTAACTCTGTTACACCAATCCTAGACAATATTTAACTCTGTTACACCTATCCTAGACATTACTTAACTCTGTTACGCCAACTGTAGACATTCTTTAACTGTCACACTAATCCTAGACATTCTTTAACTCTGTTACACCAATCCTAGACATTCTTTAACTCTGTTACACCAATCCTAGTAATTATTTAACTCGTTACACCAATCCTAGACATTCTTTAAATTCGTTACATTTTTCATTAATGCTTAACTAATTTAGTTGATATACACACTAGAGGAGTTGAGAATAGGCTCCCCTCCTTCCAATTATGGAGTTTCATCCCTGCACGTTTGTCAGTGCGCCGTCAAGGTAGCATGTCGTCGTCCGTAATTTCGAACCATCGACCACGAGGAGGCAACCAGCTAGCAGTAACCCCTTTTGCTTTTTACTTTAATACTATTATATATATATATTATTATTATTACCCTTTTATCTTTAACACCAAGTACCCAATGTAAATAAGATTATTTGAATATTACTTTCACAACTTGGCATTGGCCTTGGCACAGACTCTGCTTTGTTCACTAATCTTCTTAATGTTCTAGAAATAATACCCAATATGATTTGATTGAAGTAGCTAGCATCTGTT